AAAAAAAAAAAAAAAAAAAAAAAAAAAAAAAAAAAAAAAAAAACGGTACTCGACAATAAATAAAGTAGTAGTTCTACATAAGTAGGTCGATGCATTTCTGGTTCCATTCTACACTTAGATACTGATGTGATGAGATTACATTGAAAATAGCCCCAGGCCTACGTTACTAAGATTTTCTATATACGTTCATGCGTCCGTTGGCCGCCGAGAAAACGTTGCGATGCGGGGAAAGTGACACACTTCAAGGTGTGCCCGACTACTAGACTGAACCGGGAAGCAAGAAAGCAATGCCTAAGCTAGGGCCTGAAAAATGAGATGTTATTATTACATAAAACGTTTTGTTGCAATTTTGTCCAGTCAAATCCGTATTTCCGGTGGACTAAGTATAATAAAAGAAAGTTTATGCAGCATCAGTGTTATAAAGTTAATACGCGCGCACGCTGTTTGGTAACAACATGGCGCCATGCGCCAAGTTGGCCAAACACTCTCTGGCTACGTTCAGACTTGGAGATAAGCCAGACTTGAGTTAAGCCCGGCTCAACGTTAAGTTGAGAGTCATGTGAAGTACTATACTCATCTCCATATCAATGCTCACCACCCCTTTCCCCTTCGCTTGTTACGAAGTATCCGGTCAAAGTCAAGAAATCTGTACTAGTAAGACCCACAAGTCAGGCAAATATAATTATATATATGATGAATGATGAATGATGAATGCGCTGCTATCCACAGCATTTATTGGGTCTAATATAAAGTATATCAGAAAATTGTCTTTAGTACACTACAATTAATATAAAAAACATATAGAATATAAACATCAAAGAACATCAAAACGGACAATATCAAAAAAACATGCAAAATAGAAAAATATCGAATTCAATATACAATGTACAAAAGGGAAAATTTAAAATTCAGAATATCAAAAAGAGTTAATTAGAAAGATAAATATAATTATTACAAAAAAATTACATTAAAAAGTCTATATACAATAAATCGAATATCAAAAATAGAAGAATTTAACAGTTACCTAGACACCTGATATCAAATTCAATATACAATGTACAAAAGGGAAAATTTAAAATTCAGAATATCAAAAAGAATTAATTAGAAAGATAAATATAATAATTACAAAAAAATTACATTAAAAAGTCTATATACAATAAATCGAATATCAAGAATAGAAGAATTTAACAGTTACCTAGACACCTGATTATTAAAAAATTTAACTGAAGTAGGAATAAATGATTTACTGAATCGGCTGGTTCGGGTGTAATGTGATCGAAGGCGAAGTGATGAGGGAAGGAATTGATATTCTTGAAAAAGGGG